TAGACCATCATTTGTTTCTCCATTTACTTCTTGATGGATGCATGGGTCATTTACAATACAACGTTGGCTATTATAAATAAAAGTGCAGTGAATATTTGGTTACAAGTCTTTGTATGGACATATGCTTTTATTTTCTAAAGCACCAGATGAGGAATGTCTGGGTCATATGGTAGATAGGTGTTTACCTTTTTTTAAGAAACTGCTAAACAGTTTTCCGAAATGATTGTATTATTGTAAATTCCTCGTGGTGTGTATCAGTTCTGGTTGCTCTACTTCCTTGGCAGCACTTTGTGAGGTAAGTCTTTATAATCATATTCATTCTAGTATGTATGTGTACTGGTATCTCACTGTGGTTTTTAAAAGCATTTCTCTAATGACTAATAGCATCTTTAATCAGCATCTTTTCATATGCTTATTATCCATCTGGGAATCTTTAATGAAGTGTGTTTTCAGGTCTGGCTCATTGTCATTCGGTTTATTATTGAATTTTGAGAGTTCTTTATTCCGGATCAGATGCAAAGAGAGATCTTTGTATCTGATCACCTTTATCAGATATATGATCTGCAAATAGTTTCTGTTTCTGTCTGGCTTGTCTTTTCACTTGCTCAGCAGTGTTTAAGAAGACTTTGAAGTCTTCATTTTGATAAAGTTTACTGTATCAGTTTCTTTTTTAAATAGATTATACTTTTGGTGTCATAGCAAAGAAATATTTGCCAAACCCAAGGTCATAAAGTTTAAGCCTATGCTTTTTTTCTCTTAGATGTTTTATAGTTTTAGATTTTCTATTAAGATTTATGATCCACTTTGAGTTAATTTTTGTGTATGTGGTGAGGTATGGATCAAAGTTCTTTTTTTTTTTTTGCATATGGGTATCTAATTGTTCCAGCACTGCTTGTTGAAAAGACCCGTTTTCACTGCATCCTTATTGAGAATTAATTTCCTATGTAAGTGTTGGTTTAGTTCTGAACATTCTATTCCATTCCATTATTCTGTTTTCCTGTTTTCCACCAATGCCATACTTTCCGATTACTGTAGCTTTATTAAAAAAAAGTCTAAAAAAATCAGGTAGTGTCAGTCGTCCAAGTTTGTTCAAAGTTGTTTTGGATATTTGGGATCCTTCGCATTTTTATATGAATTTTAGGATCAGATTTTAAGTTCTCTTCCTTACATCCTGTTCTGCCAAAATTCCACCCATTTCTTTGTCCATCTCTAAAGCCACATTTTCTGAAGAAGTCTCTAGATCCCAGGTGAAAGGAATTTCTCTTTCGTTTGTGCTCCATTCACATGTCATAATATTTGATTGCATTTAGTCATATTTGGCTGAAACCTCTCAAGATTAGGAATCTTGACTTGTCCCTTTAGCTGAGAAAACTAGTTCTATGCTTTGCAGGAGTGAGCCCTGCAGTAAGAGGTATCTGCAGCACACATCTAGCTCATTGCTTGCATGTTGTCAAGGAATCCTGCAGATTTAGAATTGTTTATTGATTGTTGTGTCCAAGACGGCTCAGTCTTTATTATTTCTGTTGCTCCTGCTGCACTGTTAAAGAGCAATGGGCTAATTATTTTCCAAATATCAAAACAAACTGTAATTGACTTGTGATGCTAATTATGTGCTGCTGTGTCTTAACAACCCGCTTAGTGTTCACACACCCCTTCACTCACGCAACTTTTGGAAGAATGTCGTATCCTTAGAGATAGCAATGCTGTCTTTGGCAACCTGAGCAGCAGTATCTGAACTCACTCCTGCTGTATTTCCAGTGTCCCCTCTAGCCCTCTTCCTGCCCTCCACGGGGGACCTGCAGTTCTGCCCTCTAAAAGCTTGTTGTTTCTCAGGAAGACTTTTCATATGAAATATAATCATGTCCTTCCTGTGGGGACATTCAGTCCAGAGACCTGACAGCAGAGGAAAATGTTTAGTCTGCTTTTGGTAGGCCCTAAACTGTTCCATACTTACTAGAAGCAAATCCAATGAAGAAACTGTGTTGGCATCTAACAAATCAGCATAAATGTCTGATGAGGAAGATCAGCTTCCCCATCCCACTCAGGCGTCATGTTGATGTGACTCTCACCTTGGCTAACATTTTCTCCTGTGAGCAACGTAAGGTTCAAGATGTTAGGAATGGCTTTTTGTTTTTCTTCCTTAGTCTTTCCACATTCATTGTGTCTGGCGAGATTATATAATCCTGTTTATTTCCAGACCAGCACTAATCTTTTTTAAAGGATCACATGTTTAAAAGGCCAGTGGGCAATTTGTTAGAAGATAGAAATCCTCTTAGATTTTGGTCCTAAAGTCAAATTTTGGTTAGTGGTGAATGAAAATTCCCCTTAAAATTTTAAATACAGTGATATAAAAATTTAAAAGTAATTAAATATTAGTCGATTTCATTAAACACTATAGCGGTTATTTACCTCTAAGCCTGTTTCTGTGGCAGTTTTGCAATGATTCCCTCTCTTTATTGATTCCCTCATTATCAGAGTCCTTGAGAGGCCCCTGTCAGCACTGTCAGTATCATCATCATCATGGAACTGATTACTCTGGAAGAGTCTAGGAAAATAGAGATGGATGGGGATACGTGTAGGTGAGTGTGTGCGTATACAGTAAGAACAGTTATCAAATGTTCGATGCACAATATCCATTCCGTTTAGAGAAGAATGTGGCCATGAAATCCTGATGTGGTGAACAAAGGAAGTGGTGGGAACAGGATGGTCAATGGAAAGGAGGAGAAAGTGAGCAAAGCTGGGAGCATAGATCCTCAGCTAGGAGATCACGTTGGTGTGAATGACAGGAGTGTGGTGGCAGAATAATGTGCCCCCCCCGCGGGGTAGCCACCTATGACATGTTACTGTACACGGCCAAAGGGATGACACATATTTTAGGATAAAAATCTTAGAGGACTTCTGTCTTCTAAATTGTCTACTAGTTAGCCTTTTAAACCGATGATACATTATTAAAGATTAGTGCCGGGCCACAAATAAACAGGAGTCATATAATCTCACCAGATGTCCTGAATGTGGAAAGACTTAAGAAAGAAAAACAAAAAGCCGTTCACAAGTGTCTTGAACCTTTAATTGCTCATGAGAGGAAACATTACCCATGGTGAGTGTCACAGCCACATACATAATGCCTGAGTGGGGTAGGAAAAGGGGATCCTGATATGAGAAAATAGGGAGAGTAGCCTGGATTGCCCAGGTGGGCCCAGTGTAATCACAGGGGTCCTTAAAAGCAGAGGACATTTCCCAGTTGAGCTTAGGGTCAGAGGGAGGTGTAGCCATGGAGCACAAGTTCAGAAAGGCTGCTGGCCATGAAGATGGAGGAAGTCATGGGGCACAAGCTAAGGAAGGTGGATGACCTCTGGAAACTGGAAAAAAACAAGGAAACACTCTCTTCTAGACCCTCCAGAAGGCAGGCAGGCACCCTGCTGGTACCTTGAATTATCCCAATGAGAACTGTGTTGGACCCCTGACCTCCACAGCTATAAGGTGATAAATCCTTGCTGGTTTAAGCCATTAAGTTTCTGGAAATTTGTAATAGTAGTAATAGAAAAGTAACATAGGGAGGGGGTGTGTAAGGGATTAAAGGTCTGGGATGGGGTGTGGAGGGGATTCTGACATTCAACACCTAAAACAAATGAGGTGAAGTGGGAAGATGGTATCCTCAAGCCAAGTTTTAGGGAGAACTATGTGGCAGACTGGAATGAGGAGAGCATTGGAGTAGAGGAATCAATGAAACCTCTACCAGGAAAATGAGTAAAATGTCACAGGGCTTCAGTGGTAGTGGATGTAGGAAAGGAAAAGGGCAGAGAGAGATAAGCGTTAATTTGAAGGAATTAGTATAGGTTTGATGACAGCAAGCTGGGGAGAGTTAGCCGATGTGTGTGGACTGAATGGGTCCCCTTGAAATCCATATGTTGAAACCGGATCTCCCAGTGTGATGGTATTGGGAGGTGGGGCCTTTGGGAGGTGATTAGTAGGATAAAATGAGGTCATGAGAGTAGAGCCCTCATGAATGGGATTAGCGCCCTTATAACGGGCCCCAGAAACTTGCCTCTCTCTGCTCTCAGCCCCATGAAGATAGTGCGAAGACAGCCATCTTCAAGCCATGAAGCCAGTTGTCTCCCAGATACCTTCATCTTGAACATCTCAGCCTCCAAAACTTGAGGAATATGCTGGTTGTTTAAGCTGCCTGACCCATGGTAACTTGTTACAGCATCCCAGACTGACTAAGGCAGTGGAGAATGCCTCCAAGTTTGGAACTGATTGCCTGGAGAATGCTTAAACTCAGGGGAGTGGGTGGCACATAGGTTAACTCATTTAATCCTGCCAGCACAGTAGGAGGTAGAGTCTACATATTCCTCAGTATTTAAAAGGTAAGGAAAAAGAGGCACAAATCAGTTAAGAAAAATAGAAGAAGAATTTGTCCACGATTCACACAGAAACCCTCAGAGGCAGAGTGAGAATTTATACTCAGGCAGGCTGGCCCCAGAGCCCCTGCTTTTTAACTATGAAATCAGATCACCTTGCTTATGTGGATCAATTTTTTTCAACTGTGATATTAGGGTACTGTGCCCAGTAACTTATAATTTCAAAACACCTCACTATAAGGGAATCGTTAGTCACGGGCATTACAAACCACAGAAAGGCAGACATACAAAAATAACTCTTTAGGGCAAGAAACCCACTAATGTTTCTAAACATCATACATACTGAGCCTTTGAAGTAAAATGTTTATTTATAATTCTGCCTGGGTACAGAATAACTTCATTATTCTGCATGTGGCTGATGGCTCCCAAAAGAGGACAGCACAGGCCTAGAGAACTTAAATGACTTGCCCAGCCTCGCCCAGGAAGCTCGTGGTGGGATCAGTGCTACAATCTGGAAGTTTTCCGTCCTATCCAGCAAGTCCCTCATGGGGGCTTAGAAGCTTCTCCTTTGGTGCCCAGCTGTCTGTCCCTGCTTAAGACATCTTGTCAGGTGTCCCAGCCTGCTCCTGAACAGCAGCCAGTATCCACTCCTGCTCCTTTCTGACCAGGTAATACCTCTTAGCAGCTTCCATTGCCTCTTGGCATCAGTTCTTACCTGGAAGGGTAGTGGCTAGATGGAAATGTGTCCACATGAGCAGACGGACAGACTTTTCATAAATGTAGCAGGAGTGGGCAAGAGAAGGAAAAGTCAGGAAGAAAGACCAGTGGAAGCAAGTCATTAAATACACCAAATGGATACTTTCAAGGTATGTTTGTGTTTCTGAGTCCAAACTCATTCTTTTCCCTGCATGACAGGCCAGTAAATTGGGAGACCAGGTTTTGGGGCAAGTAATGGTGACTTTATTTGGAAAGCCAGCTGACCAAGAAGATGGTCAACTAATGTACTGGAGAAGCATCTTACCCAAGTTAAAATTCAGGCTCCTTTTATATTAAAAAGGGGCAGGGGGTGTGCTTGGTTGTTGCAAACTTCTTGGTGTAGGAGTTCTTTGTTGTTAGAATCCTTTGTTCTTGCAGCTGTCCACCTGGGTCAGATCCCTGTAAACCTCCAACAAACATGTTATTTTCCATTCTGCAGCTTCTTATCTTTATATGAATGGAACAGTGTTAATATTCTTAAAGCTCAGAGCCTTGAGAATATGCTCTCCTGTATATTTCAGACTCTAGGCAACATTGTTTTACAAAAGGTGCAGAACCAGCAAGACTAAGCCTAGGAGACAGAGCACAGGGTTAAAGTCAAAGGAACAGATATAATGTTGAGTCCGATTTGTTCTTTTCTATTACAGTGGTGCCATGGAGAAGGCAGTTTGGGCAGCTTTTTATGGGGCCTTGGAGCCTTTGTGTCTTGGCCTCTGGGTGCCTTTATTGAAAACCCTTTCTAGCTGTCTGGCCTGCTGGAAATTCACTCCACGTGTTTTGCCCTGAAGATGTGTTCTGTTTATAACATTTCTACTCCTTGGGAAACAACTCAATAAAACTCAATTGGTTTTCCACCAGCCCTGTGCAGGTGTGAGGGATAGCATGTTGTTACTTTATTAAAAACAAATAATAAAAGAAGTCATAAAACAGCACTGGGCACATAGTAGAGAGTCAAATGCTTCCCAGCTTAAAGCAAAAGTGATGGCTCAGTGTTTTCATGGATGCTGTATTTGCTGAACTAGTTAGTCCTTCCCTCCATTTGCTGAACTAGTTAGTCCTTCCCTCCATTAACTTTTTTTTAACTGGAAAAAAATACATATGGTAAAAAAAATTAAATCAGAGCACAAAACTACACAAGGGAAAGGTTTCCCTCATCTGTTCACTCAGCCTTCCCTGGAGATGCCACTGTTTACAACCTTTGTGTGCTTTTCGAAATATGCTATGCACATTCCAATCTATGTGTGTAAATTCCTTTAAAGTTTTACTTATTTTTAACCTAAAGGGATTTAAATCCTCAAGTGGCTTCTGCCCCGTAATAGAAAAGTACAAATGTGACTCCATATTACATCTGTTCCTTTGACTTTAACCCTGTGCTTTGTCTCCCAGGCTTAGTCTTTCTGGTTCTGCACCTTTTGTAAAACAGTGTTGCCTAGAGTCTGAAATATACAGGAGAGCCTATTCTCAAGGCTATGAGCTTTAAGGATATTAATACTGTTCCATTCATATAAAGATAACAAGCTGCAGAATGGAAAATAACATTTGTTTCCTTGGAGATTTACAAGAATCTGTCCCAGGTGGAGAGCTGCAAGAACAAATGATTCTAACAACAAAGAACTCCTACACCAAGAAGTTTGCAACAACTAAGCATACCCCCTGACCCTTTTTAGTATAAAAGGAGCCTGAAATCTGACTTGGGGAAGATGCTTCTCAAGGACATTAGTTTGCCATCTAGGTCTGCAGAAATTTGCTATTCCATGCCTCAACACCTGGTCTCTGGATTTATTGGCCTGTCCTGTGGTGAGCAGAATGAGTTTGGACTCCGTAACACTCCTATCTGCCTAGCAAGCTGGGTGCTGGAATTGAGGACAGCTCTCCAAACCCAGGGACCTACTGTGGGACCTTGAAGGGCCCCCTATCGCAGAGAGTGGTTTATCCAGGAGGGATGGGGACTATGCACCAACACTCAGGCAGTCTGCTGTGTCTGGGGCTCTGATCTTATACTTCCTCTCCCGCCCACCCACCACCTGAGATAGTGCAGCTAAGGCAGAGATCGTCCCTGCCTCAGTTTCCCATCCTGTAAGAGGGCAATTTATACTGTACCCAAGGTGGTTTTGAGCGACAACGCCTGCGGGTGCTAAGTTCTCAGAGTGACAGGAAACTCAGCTCTCCGCGGGGATAGCAGGTGTGATCCCCGTAGAGGTTCTGCAGGGGCCTAGGCTGGGGGGCTTGACCAGGGAGGTGAAATTTGAGCTGCGGGCCTTGAGAGGTTAGAGAGGGGCGCGGAGGCAGGACTGGCGCCTCCTTTGGGGTGCCCCTGAAGGTAAAGCTTTTTTCCTCTATCTCACCTACTCTCCTTCCTCCAGATCCCTCCCTACTCCCTCCTACTTCTGTCCACCTCTCTGCCTCTACTTTCCCCCCTCTTCCGCTCCCAACTTCTCCCTCCCTCGCTTCCCCAGCGTGTCTCTTCTGCGCATGCGCACGGTCAGTGCGGGCTGGACCGCGGGTCCGAAGCGCCAGCTCCGAGCCGGCATCGGCCGCAGAGGCTGCTCGGTCCGCCGCCCGCCTGGCCGTTGGCTCCTGCCCCGGGCCGGGGCCTCCGGCTGTGGAGTTGTAAGGTAGGGGGACTCCGGCGAAGGGGGTCCGCGTATCACAGCCCGCGAGGGCGCGCGTGAGCGCGCGTCCAGCTGAGGGGCTCGCGCCAGCCTCCTCTGCCCGCACCGCCTGCCCCAGCGCCCCGGCCACACCTGTCCAGGGCGCTCGCCTGCCGGGGACCGGCCACCCCCCGTTCCCGGCCCGGCCCGCAGCTGCCGCCGCGTCTCGCCCTAGCCGGGCTTCCCTCAGTCCGCGGCCGGCGTCCCCTTCCCCTCTCCCGCCCGCGAGTCCTCTCCTCCCGGGCTTCCTCTCCTCGGCCGCCGACCCGTCCCCGCCCCTGGGTCGGCTGTGTCCGGGACCGGTGGGGTCTGCGGACCCGGGCGGGGGCTGGGACTGGCCTTCGAGCGGGGCTGCAGCCCGCGCCCCCCGCCGCTTTCCCTGCCCCCCCAAACCCCGGGGCTGCCCTCCTCTCCCTTTCCCGCTCCTCGAGGTCCAGCTCTGAGGTGTGGGCGCTGCTCCCCGGGCTGAGAGCCTCTGGCTGTAAAGCCCAGCTTCTCCTGGCGGAGCCTTAGAAAGAGAGCGTGCATTGGTCTTCTCCCTCAGTGTTTCTGCCCCAGGTAAGTACCTTTGAACACTTTCGGGTGTTAGGATAGGGGTGCTCGTTGATGTCACGTGTTTTTATAGCGAGAGGGATTACAGTGTTGAAAGCAGGGCTTGGTTCAGTTATAAATGAGCTGAAGGCGGGAGGCTGTGACATCCTCCATCCTCCCCCCCCTCCCAGGTGTAACCCGTGACCGTCGTTTTTAAAAAGATAGTTACAGTTCCTAACTAGTCCAGCCCAGCTAGTGTGTGTTAACAGGAACAGCACTACCAGGGGCATTTTGGAGACCCAGGGACATTGCAGTCCTCAAGATCTGGAAAATTTTTGTTTGGTTTTCTTTTTCTTAAATTGTGGGGCTGACTAGTAGTATAGAGGGAAAAACAGTTGTCAAGGACTATTTTTTTTTCATGTAACAGCTTTATTGTGATACTGTTCACACACCATGAAGTCCAGCCATTTAAATGGTACAATTCAGTGGCTTTTAGTATATTCACAGTGGTGTAGCCATTATTATTCCAGAATGTTTTCATTGCTTCAGAAAAACAGTGGAAATGAATGACCTATCCACTCCTCCCCAGCGGTGGTTCTAAAGAAATTTCTTGGCTGTTCCTGACCATAAGTTAATTTGTTACATTCCGTGAAAAATCTGGTAGGAATTCTAATCAGAATTGCATTGAATCTATATCAGAATGGGGAGAATTAATGTTTTTATGACATTAACTTTTTCTACCCATGAATATATCTGGGACCCTATCTTCATCTCTCTCGAGTCTGGCCGATGGGAGGTGCTCAGTAATTGTTGGGTCTGTGAATGATGAGATTATATATATGGTTAGTTGCAACTGTAGCCTTTCACAAAAGAGGAAAAACCTCAGTGAAGCTACGTGACTCCTCGATGGTCAGAGTGACAGCCAATGCTGGAGTGATCCAGTGGACTTGGTGCTTGTAACCAGAGTTCTCTGCCACCTACAGCTAATGGGATTACAATGTTCTTTATTTTTTTTTTATGGCGTTGCTTTTACTTACTTTTAAAATTCTTATTTTTGATTGAAGTGTAGTCAGTTTACAATGTTAGTTTCAGGTGTACAGCAGCGATTCAGTTACATATATGCTTATGTACATATATATATTTCAGGCTGTTTTTATTACATTTCATTATAAGAAATTGAATATAGTTCCGTGTGCTACACAGCAGGCCCTTGTTTATTTATTTTATATATATTAATGTGTATGTGTTAATCTCAAACTCCTAATCTGTCCCTGCCCCCTTTCCTGCCTGCTAACCACAGTTTGCTTTCTATGTCCATGAGTCTGTTTCTACAAGCGCCGTCTTTGCTAGTAATACATGCTGGTTGGCTGCTTTCAGTTTCAGTAATTCCATCTTATCTGTGGGCGTTTTTCTCCTGGTGGGCCTGCATGTGGTTTGCACACGTGGTAATAGAGATCTGTATTTGGGAGAACTCCGGGCCTCTTGTAGTGCCTGGCACGCAGCGCCCGCTGAGCTCATGCTTGAACTGGGAAAAACCATAGTAAAGGTTGGAATTTGCACTATGGTTCAGACTAGTGGGTTTCTGTAACTTATGTTTAGCCCACCTTAATGTTGGCTGCACCCATACTAGGTAATTTGGTGGAACTGCATGGTGTGGCGATGTAGAGACAGGGCCTTGTCTGCTTCTTCTTCCTTTTTTCTAACACTCATTCTCCTGGGCCTCCCAGATCCTCCCCTAGCAGTGCCCAGGGCTGGCTTGGTGCTGTGCTGAGGCAATATTTGTTATTAAGGCCCTTTCCTCATCTCTTCTGCGCTTCCATTTCCTTCTCTGCACAATGAGGGCTCAGACTAGATAAGTGCTTTTCAGTTTCTTTTAAACCCATGTCTCCTTTTGAGAAACAGAAAACCCAAATCTCTCCTCCCATCCCAACCCTTCAGATTTTGATACGTCCTCCAAGGGGTGACATAGCTCTTTGTGGAAAGTTGATGTGATTTTGGTTCTTTCCAGGTGGTGCAGAAAAGACTCTTCAGAGATTTATTG